GGGCTCTCGAGGTTGGAGGGTTCCGCCTTGCCTCCGCCCCTTATCGAGGGCGGCCGGACTTTGGGGAGCTCGCTTGTCCCGTGGGGCTTGTGGTTTCTGGACCGAACTGATTGAACTTGAAGCTTTGAACTCGTCAGGGGAGAGGAAGTGCACACGTAGTACAAAAATCGAACGGATTATCCTTGTTCTCAACCTTCGAGAGGAAGACTATCATCAGGCCAGGCGGCGCTGGGCGATCCAGTCCTCAGGGAATGTATTGCAGTCTTATCGCATGCCAGACCTTATTTCGAAGGTTTTTCGTGGATTAACTAGCATCAAGGGCCAGAGGTCCTACTGTTTATCAGCGAGTAAACTAGTACTGAGGGGCTACTTGTTGAACATCTCAAAGTCAGTGAGTGGAACTGGGATAGGAACTTAGGTATCTAGATGCCACACCAGAAGAAGCCTTTCTTTCTCTCTCATATCTTGGTTTGGATGCCCCGTATACGCTGAAGGGGAGCAGATATGCCACCCCCAAGTTGGCCACATCGGCATATTATATTGAATTAAGGACACTCTGACTGTTCCTCCTGGAAGCAGGAGCTAAATCTCTGGTGTGAATGGTACCCTCTGTGTACCAGGAGGGTGGGAAACACACTTTTCCCCAGAGATTGGGAATTTAGGGCAGAGAAGGCTGGATAAATAAAACTTGTTACTGCTTCATCAACTTATTACCCAAGGCCAACACCCCTTCATCTTGAGAATTCTTAGCAAATTTATTGTTTGTCTTAGTTCAGTTCAGTTCAGTCGCTCAGTCGTGTCTGACTCTTTGCGACCGCATGAATCACAGCACGCCAGGCCTCCCTGTCCATCACCAACTCCCGGAGTTTACTCAAACTCATGCCCATTGAGTTGGTGATGCCATCCTGCCATCTCATCCTCTGTCGTCCCCTTCTCCGTCTGCCCCCAATCCTTCCCGCATCAGGGTCTTTTCCAATGAGTCAACTCTTCGCATGAGGTGGCCAAAGTACTGGAGTTTCAGCTTCAGCATCAGTCCTTCCAATGAACACCCAGGACTGATCTCCTTTAGGATGGACTGGTTGGAT